TGATACACCCAATGACGGCAGCAAAGGGGAGGGGCAGACTCGAGTCGTGAACGACGAAGGCAAGCTTGCATGGGATGACGAGGAGGCACCAGGGACAGCAACGGAAGGGGACGACGAGGAGACGACAGGAGCGGAGAGCTACAGGAGGGGACGTCGAGTCCGAATGGCCCCGGCATGGCAAAAGGACTATTTACTTAATTAATTTACGTTTATCATTGTTTACATTTCTTTTTATTCGTGTAATAGTTTTTTTTTTGGTGAGCGAAATAAGCTCCTTCGAGGGTTTCTTTACGGTTCTTTACCTCGTTGCTTTTTCTTGAACTGTCAGGGTAGAAAACGTAGTAATTAGGAATTAATTGGAATTAGGGTTTCTCTCAAGTACTATTTATTGATGTAATCATTGGTTGGAAGGCATCAATAAGAAAAACCCTAAAACCCTACTTCTCTCTTGGTGTGCGGCCACTGCCGTAAACCTTCTCCCTTCTCTTCTCTGTTTTCTTTTCTGGAGCTTGAAGACGCTCGAAGTCTTCCCCACCGATACAAACTCGTATCATTGTGCTCTCATTGAGAGGATATTCGCCATGGCCCGAGAATTGGAAGCGAAGCACAACGCCATAGTACAATCGGTGAGCAACCGGGGAGGATCCGTTAACCCTAGTGGCAGCCGCGGTTTCCTTCCAGTAGGGCGTACGTCGCAGGGCGGGAGTGTCAACAATGCTGCCAAACCATCCATACTGGGCAGCGGTCCTACGTCAAGTACTCACAGCCGGGAATCTACTGCTTCTACTCCGATTCGTTTACTCACACGAGCGGAGAAATTAGAAAAAGATGCCAAGGGACTTTGCTACAATTGTGACAAAAAATGGAGCCGAGACCATAAATGCGGTCGCTTTGTGTTGATGATGGGTGAAGAAGAAGAAGAGGTGACTGACGAGCCAACCGAAGACGTCGAGGTCACAGCCGATATCTCAAGCTTGCATAGCATGGCCGGCGTGACCACCCCGCGATCATTACGTTTAACGGGACACATGGCGGGAGGTTCGGTTGAAGTGCTGATCGACGGGGGAAGCACCCACAACTTTGTACACCCGCAGGTCGTAGAGAGGATGGGGTTGGCCGTGGAGACAGCGCCGCCTTTCCGAGTCTACGTGGGGAACGGCGACTCCCTTCATTGTGATCAACAATGCAAGACCGTGGCTGTAACTCTCCAAGGGACGGAATTCGTGGTCGACTTATACATATTAAGAATCCACGGACATGATGTGGTATTAGGAGTCCAATGGTTACGACTGCTTGGGCGAGTTCTACATGACTACGATAAAGTCACCATGGAATTCAAATGGCGTGACCAGCCTGTTACCCTACGAGGGGATACACCCGTGCCCAGGCCAGTCCCTTTGCACCACCTACGGTCCTTACAGGGGAGACATGAGCTAGAGATTTGTGTAGAAATTCTACTCATCCAAGACAGTACACTGGAGAAGGACATCTCTGAGGGAAAAGGGCCGCCACTGCCGCCGATTATTGAGCAGATTCTGGCCGAATACCAGGGGGTATTCAAGGAGCCTAGCGGGCTCCCACCCAGGCGCGAGGCAGACCACCGGATCTTTCGACTGCCAGGCACTAAACCGGTGAATGTCCGACCCTACCGATACCCCCATTTTCAGAAGACAGAAATTGAGAAGCAAGTGAAGTAAATGTTGGAGCAGGAGATAATACGCACCAGCCACAGCCCCTTCTCCTCGCCAGTGCTTCTAGTACGGAAAAAAGATGGCACGTATCGGTTTTGTGTGGATTATCGGGCTTTGAACGCCGTAACCGTGCCTGACCACTTCCCCATACCCACGGCGGACGAGCTTTTTGATGAACTCGGAAGGGCGAGGGTGTTTACCAAATTGGATCTACGCTCGGGGTATCATCAAGTGCGGATGTACGACAAGGACATATATAAAACTGCTTTCCGTACGCACGAGGAGCATTATGAATTCTTGGTGATGCCTTTCGGCCTAACCAATGCACCTTCCACCTTCCAAGCGTGCATGAACCGGTTGTTCGCTCCGCACTTGCGCCGGTTTATTATCGTCTTCTTTGACGACATCCTCATCTACAGCACCACCATCGAGGAACATGGCCGCCATCTTCAACAAGTTTTTGTGTTGCTCCAGAAACACTGTTTCTTTGTGAAGCAATCCAAGTGCACGTTCTGCACCGAAAAAGTGGAGTATCTTGGGCACATCGTGACCAGCGGCGTCCTCCAGGCGGATCCGTCTAAGGTTGAGGCGATGGAGCGGTGGCCTCAACCGAAGACACTACGGCAGTTGCGAGGTTTTCTAGGCCTCACGGGGTATTACAGACGGTTCGTGCAACACTATGCCCAAATTGCTTCCCCACTCACCGACTTGCTCAAGAAGGACGCATTTGCGTGGACGGACAAGGCCACCCAGGCCTTCACAAAGCTTAAAGAGACGATGTCCAGCACCCCTGTCCTTCGCCTACCAGATTTTGAGGAGTTGTTCGTGGTAGAGACAGATGCGTCAGGGACGGGTATCGGAGCGGTTTTATTACAACGAGAACAGCCCGTGGCGTATTTTAGTAAAAAGTTGAACCAAAGGAGATTGATGGCCTCTACATACCACAAAGAATTGTACGCTATAGTGGAGTCGGTGCAAAAATGGCGGAAATATTTGCTCGGACGGGAATTTCTCATCCGCACAGACCACAAGAGCCTAAGGGAGTTGCTACAGCAAGTGATTCAGACACCAGACCAACACTTTTATATCCGGAAATTATTGGGGTTCCGTTTCAAAATCGAATACAAGAAGGGGGCAGCGAATAGAGTGGCAGACGCATTATCCAGGATACATGAAGACCACCTGGACGGGCATGAGCTGCTAACCATATCACAGCCCATTCCCACCTTACTGGCCGAGCTTCAGCGAGAGAACCAAACACAAGAGGACCTACTCAGCCGCCACAACGAGCATCAACGTGGGGAGCTGCCCGAACCCTACTCAGTGGTGGACGGGCTGCTTTATTATCGCCGGAGGGTCTGTGTCAGCTCTATCTCGCCACTACGGACAGCACTAATCAAGGAGCACCATGACACCCCTATGGCCGGGCACCCGGGAGTGCAACGGACGTTCCTAAGGTTGGCACAAAGCTTCTACTGGCCGCGCATGCGGACCGATGTCCGGGAATATATTCGGGCTTGTTATGTATGCCAAACTACCAAATATTCGACCCAACCTCCGACCGGGCTACTACAACCATTAACGGTGCCGACTCAAGTATGGGAAGACGTCGCCATTGATTTCATCGTGGGATTGCCACCGTCTCGGGGGTATACGGTCATATTAGTGGTGGTGGATCGCCTAACTAAAGTAGCACACCTCGGAGCACTGCCAACCGGGTTTGATGCGCACAAGACTGCTCACCTCTTCATCGACATTGTGGTGAAACTCCATGGCTTTCCAAAAACCATCATCTCCGATCGTGATAGAATTTTCTTGAGCAATTTCTGGCAGGAGGCTCTTAAGGCGAGTGGCACCACCCTCAAGTTAAGCACTGCGTTTCACCCACAGACCGATGGCCAGACGGAAGTGACGAACCGGGCGGTAGAGCAGTACCTACGCGCTTTTGTGCAGGAGAAACCGGCAAGATGGACGGTACTGCTACCTTGGGCCGAGTATGCATTAAACACTAGCGTTCACTCGGGGCTGGGGGTGACGCCGTTCGAAGCCCTCTATGGAAGACCACCGCCTACCTTTCTACCTTATCGTCCAGGGGAGAGCAAAGTTCCAGAAGTTGATCATGTGTTAAAGGAAAGGGATGCCATGCTACGCAGACTCCGGGAACATTTGCGAGCCGCTCAACAGAGGATGACTGAAGCGGCCAATCGACACCGGCGAGAGGTCCAATTCGAGGTGGGGGCATTGGTGTTGCTTAAATTACAACCACCGTACAGGCAGCACTCCGTCGCACGACGGAAGTCCCAAAAGTTGGCGCAACGATACTATGGACCGTTTCGGGTATTGGAACACATCGGGCAGGTGGCATACAAACTCGAGCTGCCGGAAGGATCGCGCATACATCCGGTTTTCCATGTAGCCCTCTTACGGCCCTTCTATGGGGATGTGACCGGGGTGAAGTCCTTGACACTGCCCGATGAGTTCGTGCAAGGGCAGCCACTCTCGACACCGGTACGGCTTCTTGCTAGTCGACAGGTGCTTCAAAAGGGGAAGCCAGTCCAACAATATTTGGTCGAGTGGTTCGACGGGTCGCGGGACGACGCAACATGGGAACTCGCCGAGGTGCTGGAGCAACATTTCCCACATCTCCACCTTGAGGACAGGGTGATTCCTCAAGGGGTGGAGAGTGATACACCCAATGACGGCAGCAAAGGGGAGGGGCAGACTCGAGTCGTGAACGACGAAGGCAAGCTTGCATGGGATGACGAGGAGGCACCAGGGACAGCAACGGAAGGGGACGACGAGGAGACGACAGGAGCGGAGAGCTACAGGAGGGGACGTCGAGTCCGAATGGCCCCGGCATGGCAAAAGGACTATTTACTTAATTAATTTACGTTTATCATTGTTTACATTTCTTTTTATTCGTGTAATAGTTTTTTTTTTGGTGAGCGAAATAAGCTCCTTCGAGGGTTTCTTTACGGTTCTTTACCTCGTCGCTTTTTCTTGAACCGTCAGGGTAGAAAACGTAGTAATTAGGAATTAATTGGAATTAGGGTTTCTCTCAAGTACTATTTATTGATGTAATCATTGGTTGGAAGGCATCAATAAGAAAAACCCTACTTCTCTCTTGGTGTGCGGCCACTGCCGTAAACCTTCTCCCTTCTCTTCTCTGTTTTCTTTTCTGGAGCTTGAAGACGCTCGAAGTCTTCCCCACCGATACAAACTCGTATCATTGCTCCATGAAAATGTAATCATTTAAAAGTACTTTCTTCCGATCTTCATATTCTCTATTTCTTTGATAAGAATATAAAAATACATTGGGCAAAATTCTTTTGCACCTATCTCATTTCAATGAAAAACAAAGGGTCTCTAGGGTATGTGATTCCGATCATGGCAATCATGTTCAAGTTCTCGTTGGACTTCACGACAGATATTCAAATCTTGACGGATCACACTTGGAACATCGATGTTGCTTCATTCAATCGTTCCTACATTCTCAAGAGTGAGGGTGACCAAGAAGTTGATGGACGTGACGAAGAGAGTGAAGAAGAAGAAGAACCGAAGGGTGAACTGGAAGGCAACCAAGAAGGTGAACCGGATGTAGTGCATCACGAGGGGACAAGTTAGCGATCGTCTCACTCTTGAGCATCTCACTCATCTTCCTCATCCCATCGCTCTATCCTTAAGAGGATATTAAGTGCGCTGACTTGTACGTGTGTTGAGGTGACCATGTAGGGACATCGTCGCCTTTCTCGCCTTGTGCAGCGCCTTGCCGAGATTGAGTGTCGACCTTTCTCCGGACCACGATAGAGCTATAGCGGAGGGCCTCGACCGGCTAACTCTCTTTGATGCTTTTTTTCTTCTGCTCATGATTTTTTTATGGTTGTTTATGTATGATGAGTATTGATGATGCTTATATATGGATTATGTTTGACTTTAACCTTTTATTATTATTATGTCATTGGATGATGCTCATATATATGAAAATTGTTTATTGATTGTTGGTTTCGCAATCTTGTTCTATTTGAAATATATTGTCCCTTTGATTACAAAATTGCAATTAGTTCCTTTTTTAAAGGAAACCCTTGTGATAATGCCAAAAGGGGGAATGAAGGGTAGTTGGAAAAAATTTGAAATGTTTTCAAAATTTCTTCCGCTATCTACTCCGTATTCTTTTTGCTCACTTCTAACCATGTAGGGGGGAATCATTTAAAGGAAGTTAATTCTTAAACTTAAACTCTTTGCAAATTTCAACTATAGTTTGTCATTATCAAAATGGGAGAAATTGTTGGACATGAGTTCAAACCCCTTTTGAATATTCTTTTAAGGTTTTTTTCAATGTTATTAGAACCGGACCGGACCGGCCGGTCCAACCGGTCGAACCGCGAACCGGTGAGGAATCTGGTCCGGTTCAAATGTAAACCCCGGATCAGCATCGACCCGCCCAGACCCGGCGGAACCGGTGAACCGGGTCGACCCGGCCGGCTCGCGGGTTTCTTTCTAAAGCTTTTTTTTTTATTTTTTTTGCCTACAAAATAAAATGATGGAGCTAGTCCGGTTCAAATGTAAAACCCGGATCAGCATCGACCCGCCTAGACCCGGCGGAACCGGTGAACCGGGTCGACCCGGCCGGCTCGCGGGTTTCTTTCTAAAGTTTTTTTGTATTTTTTTTGCCTTCAAAACAAAATGATGGAACTTGGATTTGAACACTAGACCTCACCATATAATTCTCCAAGTCTATAACCACTTAAGCTACTCAACTCTTGTTTACAAAGTCATGCAGAATAGTATATATAGTGTTTTTTATTTGTGTTGAGTGAATTAAGAAAACTTCTAACTATTTGTAAGAAAGATCATGTTTGTGTTGTGTGATTATTTTATAATCTTTTAAAATATTTCAAAGTAAAAAAAAATTATTTTTTGTATTAAATAGTAATGAATAATTTATATCTAAACAAATATTATCACCTATAAAATGAAGAAATATATACTAATTATAATAAAATATGGAAAGTGTGAAAGAGTATATAAACAATGACATTGAAAATAACATAAAGAAGAAAAAAATGCAATTTTAAATATTTTATTTAACATCGACAATAACATTTACATCTTTCCTTAATATGTGTGTCCGATTCAAATGGAAAGATTAAAGTTAGACAGAGGGAGTATGTACTTCGTATTATTTTGAAATAATATGCATATTTAAGTTATGTGATAATATTTTATTATCTTTAAAAATAGTTCACAAAATATGGTATTATTTAATTTTTTTATTATCTAAACATAAATATGAATATTATATACCAAGTAATGGGTCGTTGACCGGGTCGTTCACCCGAGCCAACCCGGTTCGACCGGTTGACTCTTGACCCAGTAGCTTGTCCAATTCGATGTCCGGTCCGGTTTTCAAAACATTGATTTTTTTAGGTTTTGATAAATGACAAACACAACAACGAATAAAAATTTCTTTTTCGTTTTGAGACAGCAAAGAGGCATCTCAAAAATTTTACAACGTTCAAATTCAAGATTTTTTAAAAGTGAAGTGAATATTTCGAAGACTTTTATTCTTTTTGATAGGGGTGTGCACCGGTCCAAAACCAGACCGGAACGAGAATAGACTGGAACCAGAATCTTTTATTTGCAAGGACCAAAGACCGGACCTGTTTGATACCGGTCCGGACTGGTCTGGACCTGAATTTTCCGGTCTGGTCCGGGTTTATCCTATTATGAACCAGATTTTAAACATAAATGACCTAATTTTTATTATAAAAATTCATATTTAAATTGTATTTGTAAATATAGATAATACCACCAATCCTCAAATTCATAACAATAACAATTCACAAGGGAGGGAAATTATTAAATTCATTAGTTCATAACACTTCAAAATACATGAAAAAAATATCAAACCAAAGTTCAAACCTTAAAGTACAAAATAATAGAAAATAATTAAAGTAAAAACTGAAATTAAATAACATATCATGCTAGGAGCTTCAGAGAACTGAAAAAAGAAGAAATTTGAGAGGATAATATTCTAATGGATTGAGTAGTGAGCTTTGGGATATTACATTCTAGGCTTGAATTTGTTGGATAATTAAAAAAATATTTTATTAGAAACCCGTCCGGACCGGATAATTCTGGGTTGAGACCGGACCGGAACCTGGAATTCTAAATTTTTGAAGACCGAAGATCGAACCTGAATATTCCGGGCCGGTCTGGACCATGCCGTTTCGGTCCAGTTCAGGTCTAAATTCAGGTCTGGACCTTTTAATGCAAAACCCTACTTTTTGAGTCATAGGAACATTTGTAAAGATGACAAATATTTTACATTTAAACCAATTAAATTTGAGGGTTAAAGAATAATTTTTAGAATCGGTTGAAAAATAAAGTTTTCTTTGTCTAAAAATATTTTATTGGGTCAGTTACAAAAAATGTGTCAAAATTTCTTTAAATATCTTTTTAAGATATACAATTTTTTTGTGGTTAAGAAAAATATCTTTTAAATATTTTTTGTGTACATCGTTCGACACATAAAATATTTTTGGGACTTATATCTACACCCAAAATTCCTTTCATTTATTCAAAATTTAATTTTTAATAATGTTTGAGTTGATGGGGAGCCTTACCCTAGATTCTTTTGTTGGAAACAAACCAAAAAGGCCAAATACTCACATCATCTTACACACATTCCTGTGGTCTAAATGTTTGGGCATTATTCGTTAATGGGTCGATCCTTTGAGTTGGATCGATAACAAGACTTTTCTTGTGCACGTACTTTCTTTCATGGGATAGATCATCAGGGCGGGATTGATCACACGAACTTTTCTTCGTAATTCTCCCTAAAAGTTTAAGCCATGGTGATCGATCACATGTCTTGGATCGATCACCTGAGTTGAAATCTGTGGGATTCCATTTCTCAAGTTGAGGCTTGTGGGATTCAATTTCTCAAGTTGTAATCGGTTTTTCAAGCACCCGTTAAAGCTTGAAGTTTAGTAGGACCTTGAGAGAATCTTTCGGAGGACTGGAATAGCCACGAGGTGGTGAACCAGTATATATCGCGATGTTATTCTTCCTCTTTACTCCTTTACATTTTTCCTGCAATTTTTATTTTTTTATCACACACACGCGAAAAATACTCATTCTAGATAACAACTCTATTCACCTCCCCCCCACCCCCCGCCCTCTAGAGTTGCATACATTGTCTTACATAAAGAGAAATGAGAAAGAAGTAAAAAACTTTTCTCCAATGGAAATATTATGACGATTCAAGGAGAAAATAAAATAACAAAGGAGGAAGAAGTGACAAAACCTTAAAGTATGATAAGCCTCCCAATCCGGAGAAAAAACGGCATAAACCAAGGTAAGTTCTTCTTTCGGGATAAGACTTTTTTGTGTACTTATTTTTTAAACTATGTGTTCCAATTTGTTTTAGCCTTAGTGTGGAAATTTAAAATAAATCCTTTATACTTCATCCGGTTCAAAAAATTCTTCTTTTTTTTAACTTTTTTGGTCAAACAAAGACACTATTTGACCATAAATTATGAAGAAAGTATATTGAATTATAATATAAATTAATTATATTTGAATTTATCTTAGGATATAGTCTTCATACATAAATTTTTTGTATAATATTTATTTATTTATTTATTTATTTAAATTATGTTTAATTTATGGTCAAAGACAAAAAAAATAGGGTCACTGTTTAACTACAAAAATCAAGAGGGAAGACTTTTTAAGGACCGAAGGGAATATACAAGTTTTTGACTCCAATATATAAGAGCTTTCTATATTTAGTCCTCAATTCTTAGATATTGCATTACTAGTCTTTACTGTTGGAAAATTATTTCAGAAATAGTCCTTTAAGCAGGAATATGAGAAAATATTTTTTCCACAAATAGTGTCTAAAAGACTGATTGTAAAATAAATTAAAAAATTGAGGACGATTTATAGAATATTTAAGGTTTGGGGACTAACTATAGAAAACCACCGTTAAATAGAGACTATTTAAAGAATTTACTTAGGACTTAACTTTTACGGAATACTTTTCATAAAAA